AACACTGTATTTGCCATTGTTAACTGAACAACTTGGCTCCACCAATAAACATCAGTCATAAAAACAAGGCGCATACATTCTATTGTAACACTGTAATCACTACAGTAGTTTAAAACATAATTATTTGTTAATTAGGTAGCTAATTAAGCTCATAAATGTCTTAGTTAACATCTATTTCCATGTCAGGGTGTAGTTCTTCACATAACAGGGGAGTCTCAACATATGTTCTTGATTTCAAGGTATTGATGAATGTTTTTTTTTCCCCTAGTTTTTCCCTCATTAAACATAAATTTATATGGCACAGTGCTCCAAAAAGTAATCATTGGCATACAAGAATGTGTCCAAACACAGACAGACAAACAGCACTATGATAACATCATGTCCTGCATTTCATGTATCATAGTTTTGGGACATTAAGATGGCAGACGTGAGTAGGTCTGTAGCCAACTGACATGACATGGATTTATGTGAATACAGAGTCGATATTTGGCATCTAGATTCTGACCTCATCACTCCCTGTAAAGTGTTCACCAAGTTCAGCACAGCAGGGAATGGGGAGCAATGATAATAAACTTTCCTCTTCACAGGGGAATTTTGACTCTTGTGTACATGTGGTTGCTGTTGTAGAACTGGGAGACTGCGACTAACATGAACGGCAGCGGACAATTTTTTGCAGCTGTTTTAGAGCAGAATTTGCAAATGAGCAGAATAGCGTGTGTGTGAAACAGCAAAGAATACAACCTTTAAAAGGAATGTTATTCCAATAACTAGCATATCACCACTAGGACATGGATGTAAGATTAAAGTAGCAATACATAGTGGCAGCAGCTTAAATCACAAAACAGGAGTTCAGCAATAAATATATAAAACAAATATGAAAAGAACAATATTAAAGCAAGATTTCATATAATACACTTGAAATATTTCTCTAATTCTTAGCTGAATATGGAGTGCAAGTGTGACAAAGACCATGTTTTCCCATTGAAACAACAGTAACATCCAAAGTACAATAGGCCTACACGTTAGCATTTCCTGGAGACCCAAACACAGCAAGAAACCATCACAAAAGAGCAACAACCTCTCAGGAAATATAATGCAAAACCAATTAAGCAAATAACAGCTAACTCAAACGTGAGAATTCATAGTTCGCCAATACGCAAAGCAACAGCATGAAAGCACTGCAATTAAATAACATGCCAAACATAAACCAGCCAAGAGGAAATAAGCCCAGCAAAGCAAAAAGAAACCATAAATAACATAGGGAAAGGGCAGCAGCTACAAAGGCCAAGACACAGGCCACACACAGATCAGTCAGAGAGCAATTAAATCCCACCAGCGTAGTCAGCCAAACATTCAAACACTAACTGAGCAGAGGCTAGGAAATATATCACAACATAGCTGTTAGCAAAGCAGCAAGCCCCTACCTTCATGAAATGAAGCAGTGATCTCTGTAGCATCTCAGCAGACTTTGGGAAGAGTAGCAGCAGAACCAGATCTCCACAGCAGGTGCAGGAAAATCCTTCATGCTCAGGTTTGAAGTTCAAGTTTGAAGCCGACGAGGGAATGACAACTGGCCAGAGGGAGCACCAAACATCGTTACTATTTCCCCGTCAAAGACGTCCTGAAGCAACGGAGACAGAAATGATGCCAAGTGAGCTAGTTTGTGAAATGCTACATTAGCAACAACAACAACAACAAGCAGTTAGCCAGCAGCGGTTTGCGGCATTTTTAGGGCAGAGTTAGCATCATAGCTTCACATTACCGCCATGGCAAGAGTGAGGGGAGAATAACAGTTTGAAAAAAACTTGACATACAAGGCTGCGTTCAGTGTATATTGCCTAAAGCGGTTTGTCACCTGTGACTTGTGTAGCAATGCTAGTTGTCGGCCTAAACCACGAACTAGCTTCGCAACATTATTTTGTAACAATGTATCAACTTACCATCATTTCTTAGCTAGCGTCCCTTAATGTATAGTCATTACATTTGAGTCACAGAGCTAGCCTGTGTTTTTCTGCAAGATGAATCCATGTGGATCAGTCAAAAACCTTGGCAATACCATAAAAGGTAAAGTTGAACAGACCGTTTTCACTGGATACATTATGACCTGTCAAACACAGGTGTATCTAATAACATTAGTAATTGCTTCATACCATGGCAGTGATAGCTGGAATGGAGCCATGGTTAATTTTATTAGTTCCACCTGTGCCTTTCCTGCTATGAGGAGTCAAATTATCTGCTGTGAAAAAGATTTATGTGTTCAATTCATTTGGGAAGGATGAGGACAAGAGTTTCATAACCAGATATATTCAAACAGCAAAACATGTTGAGCACAAAGTGGATAGACCTTAAGAAAAACTGGCGATGTCAGTCAAATCCAAGATATGAAGCCAAGTTTACTCTCAAGTTCACTGTCAGTATAGCGGGAGAACTTTGTGTCTTTTTTGTGTAAAAACATGAAATTCAACTTGCCTCCTTACTACCAATTAAAATGTAACAAATTCACACATGGGTTTTTGATGGAAACCATGCAGCACTAACCTGTAAAATATATTTATAGACATATACTGTAAGATGACTCAGCTACTTGTCAGTCAATACTGGTCACCAGTTTACAGTTCAGATCTCACACAGTATTGTCTTTCTTCAGCAGGTGGCTGTGCATTGGTTTGGCATTTTAGTGCCTGTATTGTTCTGGTAAAAGGTCCGTACTTCCCCGCAGTGCTGTGTGCTACCAGTAATTACCTCAGTCATCAATTCATTCTACTACAGCTTGAGTGATAACACAGCTAATCTTGTTAGAAGGGATTTGATTAACAAGAACATCACCCACTATCACACCTCCAGGGTATGAACATTTGAGACAAAGCCTTGTCCTCTTTTTGGCCTTACTCACCCAGAAATTATGTATTACCCCGCAGATGATAAATGACCATATTCCTTGGATTTTACTGTAGTTACATCAGGTTCCAAAATGTTGCACAACATGAATTTAGAAACACTCTTGGAATAACTATTAATGCTTTTTCTTTTTTTAGAGTGAATTGCAGAGTTCATTTTCAGGACATAAAGTTTTGCTTTTGAAACCACAACCTGAATTAAACACCAACCATCCATTCTAAAAAGGTACAGTCCTATAGGAAATTACATTTCCCACCCTAACCCACCCCCACCCCAGATCTCCATTTTTAAATCATCAGCATGTGTTTCTGCTTGTACTCAAGTGAGTGTAAATCAATGTTGTAGAGCGGGGTGTTGCAACAACATCCTGTGTCTACTGAGAATTATTTGTTTTGAGGAAAACAGTTAGAGATTCAAAGCTTGATACATAACTCTCTCCTCACTTCCTGAGATGTCTCATGGGTCAGATATAGAATTCTTGTGACAGCAAGGTTGAGACCATGTGGACGATTTGATACTGTACGGATTCTCATTGCTGTGACAGGATACGCAATAAGAAAACATTTGCCTAATGGATGATTCTTATCATTCACAGTAACTGAAGACATAATGGAGCCTGATTATAATCCCCTGGAGGTGTAAATGGTTCTGTTGCTGTGTAAAGTGAGTTACTCTCCTCCTCAACCTGCCCCTCCTGAAAAATGACAGGAATAAAGACAGAAGAGCACTCTGCTGCATGTCATGTTTTCCAGATATTTGTACCTGTTGCCTTTTGACCCTATGTGACCTCCAGGAGGCTGTGAGCCATTAAAAGCTCAGTAAATGTGATCATTCTCAAATGACTAGGTCACACCTGAGTGAGCAAAAGCCACCAAACAGGACCTCCACTTAGCTCAAAGTGTTTGTTTTTCCTTTCTTTCCTCATTTATCTTTATCGTAGGTGAAGGCTTTCTTCACCATCAACACTGCGGACATTGAAACTGAGGGGATTTAGGGGATGACAGCCACGTCGACTCATCCATCACTATCCATCTCCATGACAGTTGCAATAGACTGCAGCAGAGAGGTGAGGATGTGACCCACTTCTCAACACCTGTCAGGACCTTGAGAAAGAAAAGAATAGTGAGAGACAAATAACTTTAGCACCAAGCTGTGTGTGATGTTTGCAGTTCCTAAAAATAGAGATCTCTTCCTATTATAGCTGGTTTACACAACCGTAAAGTATGCAGCCTTCAAATACCTCCCTTTCGTGCCAATCATATTCTTTAATGACTCATGAAATTATTAATTGCAGTACCGTTTTACCAGTCACATTCATCAGCAAGTGCCTCAGTCCCACTTTAATAGTCTTGACAAAGCCAGCTTGACCATGGGGAGTTGTCAGGTTGGTCACCCTGACACAGACTCTCACACACACCTAACAATACATCCACTTCTTTAAAAAAAAAAAAGTTTGACAAATGAGTGACAACTGAATCACACACTGGAAAACGGGAAATGTTCTCAGGAAGCCCAGCAAGGAGTGAAGGAAAAGTGGTAACCCATCTCTCTGGCTCCAACCCGCGAATTTTACCCCCGCTTCTAGCCCCTGATACAGCCTGATCCAAGCCAAGAGTGAGCTCGTGGCAGCTATTAATACAGTGTGTCGACAGGTCCAATCACAGTCAGAGCCTGGCCGTTCCTTTCATGCTGTGTAGAGGACAAGGGACAGGGGACTGTCATGGGATCAGAGATGATACTAGTGGAATAAGAGAGGTGGTCGAGATATCAAAGTAAGATTTATCAAAGTGCTAGTGTGTGTGTGTGTGTGTGTGTCTCTGGTTAATTAAACTGTAATGCTGAATTAAATGCCCTCAAAAGATTGTGCAACAGGCCTAGATTTGGCACTTTAATCAGTTTTACCTGTCAAAAGCAGCTATAGATTTCATATGAAAGAGAAAGTGAGTGATTAAAAGCAGACATTAAGGGAGAGAGAGGAGAGACGGTGCTTTGGGAGTAAGGGGGGGGGGGGGGGGGGGGGGGGGGGCGGAGGAGGAGAGGTGCTATTGTGTAAGAGCTTGTGCATGTTTGTTTGTGTGTGCGCGCAGACTGTCGGCCAAGAGAGAGATGCTACAATACGTAGCTGACTGGCTCCAACATAATTCATTCATTATTGTAGTGTGTGTGTGTGTGTGCGCGCGCGTGTGTGAGAGAGAGAGTAGTGGGGGGTGTGTGTGTTTGCGTGTCAGACGGTATTCCTGCTCGTCTCGCTCCACCAGTTAAGTTAAATCAGAGGCAGTCACTGGCACACTGCGGTGGTCTCTCTGTCTCTCTGACTGTCCTGCCCTGAAAGCATCAACAGCCTCCTGGTTCAGCACCACAGGTAAGAGCACACATTACCTCATGCTCAGGAATATGATTTTGCCAACTTTTTCTTTCTAAAAATTCTAAAATGTTTTGGCTGTTTAGAAGACATGTATCTAATGTTCCAACGCTGAAACAAAAAAAAAGCTTCAGTTTCTGTAAATATTTATCTCACAAGTCTTTTGTTGAAATTCGCTGATATTACCTCGGGGACCCATGTGTAGGAAATGAATGCAAAGAACTAAACCTAATTGTTAGATTTGACAGGTGCCACCTGTTGTTGCTGTTTGTTCAAGTTGTTCATGTGAAAGTCCTGTGTGTGCAGAGCCTTTAAAACAACTACTGTAGCTGTGCAGTGGGGATGGGAAGAATCCAAAACTGCATTATGAAACTATACGAGTGGGGGGAGCGAGAGGAATGGAGTCTATGCTAAAGTTTACTCTGACGTACCAGGTCTCATATCCCTATAGTCATGGCAAATTTGATTTATATAGTGCCAAATCACAACAGAAATTATCACATGGCATGTTTCATATAGAGCAGGTCTAGACTAGACCGTGCTCTATATTATATTATTTACAGAGACCCAACAATTCCTGCCATGAGCAATTTAGAAAATTGGATCCACTTCCTGATAAACAGTAGCTTTGAGCTGTTTGAAAATCCTCACTTATGAGGAATTCAGTCCGCGAGACACACTGGAAAAAGGGGTGAAGGTAAAGAAGGCAGGGTGGTTGTGGAATAACAGAGGAGGATAAGTCAAGAAAAAAACAGAAAAAAGGTAACGTTTAATTTTCAGCCTTGTCAGTGAGAGGGGCAGCTTGTACTGGAGATTGAAAATGTTGAGGAAGAGAGGAAAGAAACCGCTGCAGACACCAAGAGTTACGTGTGGGTTTCACCTTTATAGGTGCTTATTTCCCCCTCTTATGTTTATGTTATTTAATGTAATCTCAGGTTCTACGGCAAAATAATCTAACAAACTCCTCGCTGGAAATAAATTGAACAGAAAATTGTTCATAATCTGTTATGTTGTTGCAAGTCAAAGTCCTGGTGGCATATTTCCTAAAATAAAGTACAGAAAATGAGGGAAAGGTTTTAAAGGCAGAAGTTTGTGCTGTTTAATTTTGCAAGTCACATGAAAGCTCGGTTTTGTAAACAGAAACGTGCAGACATGGTTTCTGAAGCCAATATTTCCATTAGCTCCTCTCCTGCAGGCACAAGTCTTCATTTAGGTCATGGACACTGTCACCCTCACTCTCAATCACACACATGTAGACACACACACACTTCATCAAAATCTTCAGTTCTTTCTCTTTCTGAACATGTGTTTGTAAAAAGTGCATATTTTAGATGAGAAATATGTTAGTTTGGCGCGTTTTTCAGCTTAATTGCATGGCACCACTACACTTAAAGAGTTTCTTCGGCACTCAATGAGGTTTCTGTCGGTTAAGTTTCCTACTTCAAAAACTCTTCAGCTCAAGTGACTCCGTGTAAGTTGAGACAGGAGGAAGTGAGTTGTAGGAGGTTACAGATGAGGTGCACTACGGTTTTGACAGCCATATTATAACTCTGCGAGGAGTAATAGTGACAAATTGAGCTTTAATGTAGTTTTCAGATTAAGATAAGATAAAGGTTGGGTTTACAACAACAGGAAGCACCGGTGGTTTGCGGAACAGTCTGTTTACCGAAAAAGCCTACACGAGTGGATGATCATGAGGTGGGAGGCTGAGGTGGTGTGTTCCCAGTAAGATGAACCTCACTTCATAATGGGCTGATATAAATCATTAACTCCATCAACCAGACATTTTAGTGGCTCTCTCTATGAGCAGCCAGATGGTGGTGCTCATGTCAGAGCAGCCGGGTGCTCAGGCCGAGGGCAGCCACAGATAGCTCTGTTGATGGGAACCACGTTTCTATCCGAAGTCAGCCCAACTCGCTCGGCCCAGGCTGTGATTGTAACTTTTCAAGGTTTAGCTTTTTAAGGAATTCTTATGATCCCAGGAAGAGGCTGTGTTTAAATACCCCGGAGTAGGATTAGAAATGGAATGTCACTGCAGTTTCATTTAGGAGTCAGCCGCCGCTCTGTGGAACAAAAGAAATCCCCAAACTTCCTCTTAAACTTGATTTTATTCATTGTAAGCGGCTATGTGTTTGCAAACAATGCAGAGCCTCTCAGTCCATTGTCTTGATCGAGAGGATGCAGCTTGCTCATGGACCTTGTGAAGTAGGTGTTTACCTTCCTGTTTGTGGTCACCCAGGGTTTATGGCTGTCATTCAGTAATGTGCCATCTCACTGTGAGCTGTAGCTCAATGGACACAGCCTCATTAAATCACCTGCTTCCGTGTCACCTTCTGCCTGTGCCACTTCACCTTTATTATGGGGCTCACTTTTATATAAAGGCGGCAATAACTTCCAGCCTTGTTTATATTCACTCACCACACGTCCCGTTGCCTTGAGAATCTCCCTCATGGAAAAATAAAATGCCAAGCCTTCCATTAATGGTAAAGGGCATGCGGTGTGGATTTTCCACTATATTTCCATTTGTGGTCACCAGAAATCGTCTTAGCATCAAGAGATTTTCTTAAACTTTTTTAAATCCCCAAATTGTGAAACTGATATGTGTGTTGTTGCCCTTTTCAGTGTAGTTTAAAATTGCAGTCACCCACTGTTAAAATCATTAAAGAAAGAAAACACATGTACAGCAAATCTAAGCAGCGACATCTGTATTGGTACTTTACCCTACCTACTACTTTTGGGCCTGTGCAGGAAACTCTCAGAGATATTTCATTATTCTGTTGCCCTTGGCACCCACACATCTTCCACACTCGACTATCCACACATCTGCAACCGATATGGTTGTTGCTTTAATGCACTGAGGGGTTTTTTCAAAGAATCCATCCACTGAAACCTGGTGGAAAATAAGGAGACTTGGAGATAAAATAGTTTTACTGGAGGAGCTTAGATTGTCTTAATGCCAACCAGAGGGCAGCAGGAATGCAGATAGGGAAGGTTTGTACATTCAAAAAGTAGCTGTAACAGTAGCAGCTGCAACTGGATTTCTGCAAAAGGCAACTTTTTAGTATTTTTTAAATAAATATATGTGCACTAACTGACAGGTTTTCCATCATGATATCACTGCACTCTATCAGCTGTGAGTAAAATCTTGAAGCTAGGATGCCATCTTGTGGGAAGACGACTGCTTAGTTTAGTAATACTGGTAATACGAAGATTTCCATTTCTGTTTAGAGAAAGTAATATACAAAATAACAAATTTACTATTCTAAAAAACAGCACATACAATGGTTCTGTATAATCTATATATGTTATTTACCCATTTCTGAGCTGCAAATTCAAAGCATGTTTCCCCTACAATCTTTTTGATTTCTATGTAACCACGAACATATTGTCATTTTCGTGTAATTAGTAACAGAAACTATCTTTGCAGCTATAGTAATAGTATACATGAGGCTTATGCTAATATTATTGCATCAGCCCCACTAAAGACGCTCACTAAGCTGTTCTATTAAACATAAAGACTCTAAACAAAGGGGAAAATTTCTTTTTTTTTTTCCCATTTCACATTCTGCTCATACAAATGAAGCAAAAACTAGCCCTGAGGCAAATTTTCCGCAGCACGCAGGTTTGATTTTCTCACAGAGCAAAGTTTCCACAGAGCCGAATCCCTGCTGTCCTGTTTGTTTAGGTGTGTGCTGATTAGAAGTTCTCATGCTGGGTACAATGTATCTCTGCACACCAAGGGTTTGAAACGTGACATGTCTTTTACAGTGACTGGAGCCTCAACCCCCTCTTTCTCTTTCCTCCCTGCTCCACTCACTACCTCAGTGTTTAATGGTGTTGTTATCCAAGATCACACTTTTCCATGCAGTCTTCATTAACACAGGTCATAACACAAGGCATAAATGTTCTCCTTCCGGGTGCTGACAGTCCACCCAGATGGACGGGCCATTTGATAAACACTGTACAGTTTTACTGTTGCCATTCATTAGCCGAGAGACGATTTAAAGAAGATGGCAAAGAGCAGATTGTCTGAATAATGATGTTTCAAGTGCATTTTTGGAATATTGAATAACATACAACATCTGTTTTTCATGGCTTCTTATTTTACAGAAATAACATAAAGCTTCAGGATGGCTCTAATGTGCAGGTCTTTAATGAGCTGGTGTAGGGTGAGCACTTTCATGGGTGCTCGTGTGGATTAGCGTTTATGGGCCATGCCAGTGGTATAATGATTGCTCTCCCCCTAGACTGCCTGTGACATTTTTGTTGTGTTTCTTTTATAGGACTCGCTGAGGCCCTCGCCCAAGGCCTGTATCAGTCACCACAGACGCACCCTGCTGACAGGGCCCCCTGTTTAAAAGTACCAGGATCTGGCACTAAAAAGGGAAAATGCAGAATATAACGACAGGAGCAACAGACGGGATAGCTCTGACATGCGGCATGTCTGGAAGCCACGAATTCATCTTCACCCTGGTACCCATCGTCTATGGCTGTAACTTTGTCATCGGCATTGTCGGAAACAGTATGGTGGTGGCTGTCATCTACTGCTACATGAAGCTGAAGACTGTGGCCAACATATTTGTTCTCAATCTCGCTGTATCTGACCTCACCTTCCTCATCACTCTGCCCATGTGGGCGACCTTCACCGCCACAGGATATCACTGGCCCTTTGGTGGATTCCTGTGCAAGGCCAGTGCAGGGCTTGTGATTTTTAACCTCTACACCAGCATCTTCTTCCTCACTGCACTCAGCATTGACCGATACCTGGCCATTGTGCACCCAGTGCGATCACGCAGGTTCCGCACCGTGGTGTACGCACGTATCACCTGTGTGGTGATCTGGCTTTTTGCCTTTGTGCTTAGTGTGCCCACAGCACTGACCAGGGATGTCCACAACATCAAAGACTCTAATAATACAGTGTGTGGCATTCTGCACCCGCACATTAAAAATGCCAGGTTGAGTGAGCTCCTTCTAGCCATCAGCCTGATGAAGAGCTTGCTGGGCTTCCTGGTGCCCTTCATCATCATCATCACCTGTTACTGCCTCATCGGACGGGCGCTGCTGGGGGCAAGACACATCCAGAAAAGCTCCCGTTCCCGGGATGACGAGGTACTGCGTATGCTCGCAGCAGCTGTCCTGGCCTTCTTCCTGTGCTGGGTGCCCCATCAGGTGTTTCACTTCATGCAGGTGCTCACCCAGCTGACAAAGGTAGAGAACTGTGCCATCCTGGAAATCATTGACACCGCCATGCCCTTCACCATCTGCATCGCCTACTTCAACAGCTGTGTTAACCCTATCGTGTACGGCTTTGTGGGGAACAACTTCCGCAAAAACTTACTGCGGCTGTTGCGCTGCTCGCCAGGTGGACCTACTGGGCCTCACCTGAGCATCAGCTCCAAGATGAGCGCCCTGTCATTCCGTGCCTCAGAGGCACTGAGTCTTACATCCAAAAGTAAGGCCTCTTCTGACGTTAAGTGAAAAAAGAAAAAAAGAAAGAGGGTACAAGTTCACCCACCCCACTGTTTTGGTCTGTGGTTAAGAGTCCGGGGATGGAGACATTCCATGCTTTTAAAATCCCCAACTGTATTACCAAGCACTGACTCATGGAGAATGGCTGCAAAGTTACATTCATGTCCCTCTGTGAGTAAGTCAAAGAGATATTTACTACAGTCTGCAGAATAATTATTTGTAAACCATCACACAGCACTCATGCTTGTCACATTCATGCTGGCAAAATTTCTGTTCCGCTATATGAATGGGGTGATTCCCTGCAAGAGAAGGCTATACATGATTACATATCGCTTTTTCTATTATTTATATAAGATATGCATGTATGTGCAGGATTTTGTCGCCATAATACAGTGATGGGATACAGTGCAGTAATATATCGTCCAGTGATAACCATTCTGTGTGCTCAGCAGGTCTTTCACCAATTGGAACAGTTATCAAATGTTCAGCAAAAACGCCAAAGCTAATAAATAAGTCACTCATGCATGCTCTGCCGCAGATTTATACATGGAATAATTGGATATGTGTAGCAAAAATATGATGTAAATTTATCCGTTATTAACATATTTGACCATGACTAGTATCTAAATAGTATTGTCGAATTATGTGCTCTGTGTGAAAATGTATAATAAGTGTTTGCATAATAAGACTGTAATGCTGAAATGTTTCCAAGTCGAGGAGTAACACACTGTATAAATAAGAGTACTACACAAACACTCCTGGTCGGGTGATCATTGTCAATAACTATGGTGGTTGTATTTGTGGTATTTAAACATGTTGATAGATTTTTTTTTCTACTCTCTAAGTGTACAGTTTGTGAATATATGAAAATATGAATAAAATGAAAAATCTACTGTCCAAAGTTGATTTTTTTTTGTTGTTGTTGTTGATCTTGTGTGTTATAAATCATCAGGAAAATGTGTCTTTGGTTACCAAAACATCCAGAAATAACAGCTGATCTGAGATTAAGTAACTGTGAGGAATCAGAATCAAATGACTTTAGTTCAAAGTTTTCCCAAGCAACTCGTAGCATTTATTAATCATTGACTATGCATCATGTAGGGCTCTGTTCCTCCACGTAGCACCTAAAAATAGGGAGGATGTATGACATGTTGCTGCATCACAGAAGGGGATTGGCGAATGACCGACAGGTCAGGGGATATAAATTCTGTCCAGGTGCAAGATCAGCCTCACTGCCAACATGAAGGTCCTCCTGCTTTTTGGATTGGTGGCTGTTGCCCTGGCTGGCACCACTCGCTTTGAGGGGTAAATTTTGAATCTTTGTTAAAGCAAAAGATAATTCATTTCACTCACTTTTGTGAAACACTGTGGCTGTAAAGATCAAATATGCAGTGCTGATGATGAATTTGTATTCCACTATGGACTGGTGCAAGCACAGTGATATAATGTGACTCATCACCTGCTCACTATACATCATAAAACTGTATTTGATCAATGTTAACGAGTGAACCAAATCACTACTGTATTCTTCTGTACATGTATACAGCATTCTGGTTCAATTTAGTTACCTCCCATCAATTTAAACTACGTAAATGTCAATTTGTGATTTGTGCACATTACTAAACTACGCAAGCTAAAAGAGACCCTTCAACTTATTTATGGTAGTTCAGAATTGGAATTTAGAAAATAAAAGAGTTATGGGAGACATCCTCTTATAGTTTATGGAGGTAAAAATGATGCCGAAAGGTTTGATGTTTAAAAATACCACCAAGCGAATGCAACATGGCAGCACGTGAGAAGCTTACAGTTATATATAATATGTATACGTATATATTTTCTTTATGTCAGTGACTCTTTTACTGTGTAGTAAAGAGGCAGTCCTGTAATGTGAAACACATATTTTGTGTCTATTGTACTGTATTTATGATCCCTCTCTTTTTTTCACTAGCGAGAAAGTCTTCCGTCTGAAGCCTGTGCTTGATGAGCATGTGACCCTCATTAAGGAACTGGCTAAGGACATCGAGGTACCTATCTGCTTTCACACATGCCCCCACCTTAACAGTGCTATCCTCGCTCACTACAGGGGTTTCACTGGTTTGCTAATGGTGGAAGAGGCTAAATTGGGTCTACTTTTTGGAGCCACTCTGCTAATTTACTCAGTGTATGTCCAGATATGCAAATTATTTCTAACCACACCGTTTCCTTTCACAAATGCTTCGATCAAATATATCATCTGGTATTTTGACATATCATATTTCTTTCAGCTTGTCAAATAAGAGGCTGAAGTGCTGCATTTGGGATTTCATATCTGCACGTTTCAATATGCTCAAGTGTTTGACTTTGCTGCCATCTGCAGGTCGACTTCTGGAGACCCGAGAGCCCTGAGCTGGTGACTATTGACATTGATGTGGACATTCGCGTGCCTGCCATGTACCTCGATATGGTGTACACCATCCTGCAGCAGAATGACATGGAGCATGTGTAGGTCACAAGACAAAGGTCCCAAAATATAAACATATAATTGACAAGCATGAAATTAAAACATCAACATAAAACCCTGGGTTTTGTTCTTGAGTTACACACTGTTTAAATGAATCCCTCTGCAGGATCCTTATTGATGATCTGCAGACTGCTGTTGAAGCCCAGGCCCAGGGGCCCACTCCCAGAGCCCACAGCTATACCAAGTACAATAGCTGGGACAAGGTATGCTGCAAAAACATTACGTTATCATTACGTTGTGTTAGTCACAATCTCAACCCTGATTGGACTGTTATTATTGTTTCTTATTTGTCCTTCTTTTGATTTCAGATCCAGTCCTGGATCTCCTCTATTGCCTCCTCCAACAATGGCCTGATCAGTAAGCAGGTCATTGGAAACACCTACGAGGGACGCCCCATGACTGTCCTCAAGGTATTTCAGGACTTACATAATGATAAGTTTGTAAGTCATACAGTTCATACAGTTCTATCTAACACATGTTTTTTTATGATAACCTTTAACAACCACAGCTTGGTAGGAGGTCCAGCTCCACAAAGCCCGCCATCTTCATGGACTGTGGTATCCACGCCAGAGAGTGGATCTCTCCTGCTTTCTGCCAGTGGTTTGTTAAGGAGGTAAGGAGGATACCTGGATAGGCATGGCAAGCATTTATACAAAGACTTCCACAGATTACAGCACTGATCTTATTTTTATTTTTGCAATCTCCCGCAGGCTCTGTCTACCTATGGCCAGGACTCTCAGATGACCAGCCTGCTCAACGAGATGGATGTTTTTGTCCTGCCTGTCTTTAACATTGATGGCTACGACTACACCCACAAGAGCGTATGTTACAATTTCAAGCCTAAACCTAATAGAGACCATTCTGTTTATTTTTGTTATCTTAAAGAATTTGTTGATTTGTTAAATGGATGCCTGACATGTGTATTTTATCCACTTGGGAACTTTAGAACAGGATGTGGAGGAAAACTCGCTCCAGGAAATCTGGTTCCAGCTGCATTGGAACTGATCCCAACAGGAACTTCAACGCTGGCTGGTGCAGTAAGTCAAACATATACAAAGCTATATCTTACAGGGGTACTCCAGAGAATTAATAGTGCACTTCCATAAAGTTGGGATGCTTGTGAGAAACAGGTTTAAAAATCTGCGACTTCTAGTTCCCAACATGAGTCATTCCACAAAAAGCTTGAATCCTACATTTACCAAAATGCAAATTGGTAGCATCTTTCATTAAATCCTTCCATCCTGGTAAACTCACGCATGTTTGAAACTCCACCCCTCTGGTTTATAACACATGCTTCCTTTTATAAATATTTGGTCTCAATCAGATACTGCATTTAAAGAAGTAAAGAAAATTTAACACAATGTTATTTTCATTTTAATTTCAGCCACTGGAGCCTCCAGCAACCCCTGCAGCGACACCTTCTGTGGATACAGTCCTGAGTCTGAGATCGAGGTCAAGAATGTTGCTAACTTCATCCGTAGGAACAAGTCCATCATCAAGGCCTACATCACCGTCCACTCCTACTCTCAGCTGCTGCTCTTCCCCTACTCCTACACCTTTGAGCTGGCCGCAACCCACAGTGAGCTGGTGAGTCTTCATTATCTGCCACAAATGACGAATTGTACGTACAGCTGAAAAAAGATAGTGACTATGTTAACTAATATACTTGCTCGGTCATAGTCATTATAGAATTGTTCATCATGGCAGTGTCACATGCATCAGTGTAGTGCACAACTATATACAGCCTTCCTGGAAATATTTTCATTCGTAATACAATACCAACAGACTTACTGCACCAGACATGTCAGAGACGTATCAAAGGTAAAAGTGACCTCACTATAAGAATTTGGAAATCTCTGTAAAATCTCAATTCACAAAATATCAGCAAATCAAAAGATATGGTATTATATAATATGAATACAATATAAACTTAATGTAATACCTCTGAAGGTGTTTCCAAAAGCAAGAATTCAACCAAGTCCCATTATGTCTCTTATCTAAAGAACACACTTAACTGCTGCAAATCATTTACTCCCTCATATGCATCATTCTCATGGCTCTTTTACCTCTCACTGGGGTGTCCGAGGGCTGCATAGTTAACACTCACACCCCTGCTCCAGCTCTCACACTAACTGAGGCAGATCACATGTCTCTGCCTCTCTATTATTCACTTGTAATTTAAGCGCTCTTCTGACACTTCACAGAACAAAAGAACTCTGGGGATCCATCATAACTCATCTGTCCATCCAGAAATATCATTTCCTGCTTGTGAATTTCTCTCGAGGTTTCATTTCCTGCCGGAACTCACTGAAGCTTTATTACTATGTGATGTAATATCAGTAAAAATGTTTTGTTTGAACTGGAAGAAATGGATGGTGGATGCTTCTGGGGAAAAAAAACATATATTTACCATTCTTGCTACCAGCTGTATTTTAATAGTTGTTTGGTTGTGTATGATATTGTTCTTTTTTTCAGGCAATCTTTTCCCTTTTTTTTTAAGAATTAATAACATAATCTTCCACTTATACACCAGAAGTTGAATTGATAAACAATACATTTTACTGTCACTCAATTCTTTACATTCAGGTGTTTTGCTAATACAAGTATACTTGGTCTGGTATGACCAAGTATAGTGGCTAATGGTATCTAACTTTAGATCTTGCTGTGTAACAGACATGTTTTCTGATGCTGTCAGAAGTTGTAGATTCAGGAGTATAACAGGTTCAGATTTATCAAAGTCAGCAAACTACTGATGTTTTTTTTTTAACACATCTGTTTTTTGTTTCCTTTCTGTATTGTAGCTGAAGGTTGCTGAGGGAGCTTCTGCTGCTCTGCGTAGTCTGTATGGCACCCGCTACACCAGCGGACCTGGTGCTGCAACCATCTGTAAGTACATGGGGAAATAGTGTATTGAGAGGAGGCTTGATAGTCTATTTTCGCCTCTACTATTATGCATTCTGATGTGTTTGTGATACACAAACCCTTTGTTGCCTCTAGAGGCAACAAAAATAAATGACTTATCGGGAGCCAAGGCTATTCCTTGCAAACAAAGGATTTTTTTGGCCCCCAAAAGCAGTATTTGTATGAAAACACATCCAGACTGTCCCAGGTCATCAGCATATCCCACTCTGAATAATCCCCCTCTACTTATTTGCCCTCAGACCCCGCTGCTGGAGGCTCTGACGACTGGGCCTACGACCTGGGAGTGAAATATTCCTACACCTTCGAGTTGCGTGACACTGGTCGTTATGGCTTCCTGCTGCCTGAGTCTCAGATCAAGCCCACATGTGAGGAGACCATGCTGGCCGTCAAGTACATCGCCGCCTATGTGCAGAAGAACCTCTATTAACGAGCGGAACTGCCAGGACCCCTGCCAACTCAGCTCCTCTGTACCAGCCCCCAGCCCCTCCAACCTCTCAGCCATCTCCAGTCCGTATCCATGGATACGGACACCACCCGCCATGTTTCCTCGCTGTGCTTGACAGAATGTCAAGATGAGTGCAAACAATAAAATCAATGATCCATCCCCACATGCTGAATCAATTTTTTATATCTATATGATAACATAGAGTCTGATGGACTGAGCCTTTGTCATTTGTATGAAAATATACGAAAAAACTGTGATTTATAGTGAATAAAATAATGCTAACAATTTACACCCCATCACTACTAGGCCAGAAAACATGGCTGCTGTAAATTATTATTTCTTGTAAGTTATGAGAATAATGTACTTTTAAAAAATCTTTCATGTTCCAAGAAAGCACAATGAGACACTGAAATTTAACCATGCAGTGTGTTGCCCTGAACAATTCAGTGTCCATGTACTTAAACAAGACAATGCTTCAAGGAACAAAAGGATCCACCAATTTACTATACCAGCTCCTTTGAACCCTGGTGATCCCTTTTGTTCAGCTGGCACTGTTCCAGTGGTGGAGGGTGGGCGGGCGGGGGTATCAGTTTTTAAGGATTTTAGTACAGCAGCACAGTACGTGACAACCACAGACTACTCATTGGCAGTGTATCCACTCTACCAAGCATCTGCCTGAGTGGAGAAAATAAAGGAGCCAAAGAGCAGCAGGGAATCTAACTGCACTGGCACACATTTGTGAAGCAGAGGGTAGAAAGGTAAACTTCACCGACTGCTTTTTTAAAGGAATTAAAATCTGACAAGAGATTTAAAATTTTTCATGATACGTGGTCAAGCAGTGCTTACATTTTCTTTAAAAATCATTACGGTATGAATGTTTGTAAGGAATGTTACAAATACCCATTTTGGGTGCACTTAAAGACCCTGAAAAAATTTAAATATAAAAACTGCTGAAGGCTACAGTTTATCCCTTTCCCTCAGTATGGGACCCATCTTGTATAATACTACCACACTACTTGATCTGAGAATTTATACAAGAGCTCTACTGAGACCACTAAAAATAATGCACTGTTGTGTAACACAGTAGGACCAGTGGCCTCCACAACTACCTCTGTTTGTCCTGTCACTGTCCTGCTGTAGATTATTTATTCCACAAGATGGCGACAAAATGCCAAATATACATTATGGAACATGTTGTTCCTGATGTCAGCACCTCATTACAGCATCATCGTCATCTCTACATTGTCATCATGTGTAAAGATGACACCAGGCAGGGGAGCTACATGGAAGTTGTTTGAAAGGTCAAGGCTGCACAATGATGTCCTGGGAATGTAAAACTATGTCTGACTTAAGATAAGATTTTAATTTTCTCCCTAGAGACCACATGAAATCACCATGTAACTTTACAAAACAACTACAAAAAGTATGTTGAGCGATATCAAATGCTACTTTTGCCTTTACATTTACAATGTATATTTGTAAATTTGTGAATAGTTGAACTCCCTGAACTGCTGGGGGTGTGGGGGCTCATGTTGGGAGCAGGTGGGTGTGTGGAGACCGTCACATGACGCTGCGTCTGCCTGCTGTCATACTGGTATAAATCCACCTCTGTATATTCCGTCAGTCCTTTGCTCCACGTAAAGCTGCAGTGTCTTCAAGTCCAGGCTACAAAGTAGCTTCGACTTCTTCTTCAGTCATGGCTGGTATGTAACAATTTCACATTTTAACATTTCAAACCTCGATACTGCGCAGTTGTTTTCACTGAGAAAGTACCCGCGTGCTAAAACGTGTTGTCTGAAAAGTTTTAAAAGTATAGCGGACTTTGGCAGTAGTAAATGTAGCTAATAATTTGAACATGGTCTGTCTGTGGGTATAGTTGCTTGCCCGACTCTGTCTCCCTGTTGGGCAATAATGTTTGTACAGCCTCCTTGGGTGAGCAGAGAGTTTTCCAAAGCATGCTATGTACAAGTACACAGTCTCCACCTTTGTTTTGCTGTCTATCTTTGTTACCAGCTAGCTTCATAGCGTGAAGCTGTCAGCCATGTCTGAAACGTGATTGACAGATATAAATGATAACTTTGTGGTCCACTCCAATTGTGGTAGAATACTTAGTTGAACCATGTCTAGTTGTTAAATGTATTAAAATTTAACTAGTGTAAAGCAGTATATAATCCTCTGGTGACAATTTGTAATGAATGAAATAAAAACAAGATTAAATCATTCTTTGATATATTTTTTGAACTCCTTTCAGGTCCCAAGACCTTAGTTTGAGAACCACTGTGCTTCTGTATGTCATCATTCTCCATAACGCAACTCTCACTTGCAGTATAATCTTACTGGGGATTGTCCCTCTAGTCAAAATGGAAGGGGATTCACCCTGTACTGTCACTGAGCCTGGGCTTTGGTTGAATTAATTGCTTTTTTTTTTTTTTTTTTTTTTTTTTTTTTTTTTTTTTTTTATTGTTACTTTTGTGTTTCATGCTAGGCTACTTGCATAAATACTACAGCACTGGTTGTACCAATTGAAAAAGGGGGTGTGAGGGAAAGTAGGTGTGGCGCTGTGTAGAAGCAGTGAAACAGGACAAATTTTCCTGGCAGCTCTGATGGTTAACACTGCACTAAGTACTTTTTGTTCTTTCTTTTCCAATTATTGGTGGTACAGTGCCAAGGTGTTGATATATCCATGTGGGATTCATGTTGGCCCATGTCCTACCGTCACACAGCCTCCCCAGTTGCCATGCTGATTTCATCATCTCAATTTATATGTTCTCTCACAGGCAAGTCATTGTTCAGAGACATGACTTGGCAGGTAGCTGACACATTTTCCTCCCTGCCATGAGAGGTGGTGGTACAGAGTAGGCACCACACTGCAAATAAAATTCACCTTAATGAGACATTAAATCTGGTACACAGCACTAAACTCTTATTGTTCTCGAAACAAGTGAGAAATCTAATGAGGCCAGGCCATATGGATTGTGGGAATACAGGGTTTTTAAGCAATTAAAGTGACAGTTGTCTTTAAGCTTATGGATTGATTGAAACACTAAGTTGCCTGATGTTTTAAGTTGTTTGACTTTAAAGGAACCATCCAGAACTGCTTCTACTGTTGCCTAAAGGGGGAAAAAAAGCTTTTGCTGTTATGATTCTTAATACTGCAAATAACTGACCAAATGTGAAAGCTGTGGCACCATGACAAGACATTTGCAGCGCAGATAGAAATATAGTTAAAAGACAGAAATACTATCTAACTGAAACTATTTGAAACATCAATGTCAAACTTAATGTTTCTGTGTCAGTCAGTCAAATAACAATGGCTACTTGTCTAACTCCAGATATATCCCCATTGTGCTTTATCTCAACTGGAGCTTGCAGCTTTGCACTTACTGTGCTACTGGCATTATTGGACATAGATATTGTACTTTTTCACTAAAACCTGTTTTCTGGAGTTTGTTGAAGTATTTGACAAAATGTATGATTTTACCAAGTAAAGTAGAAGACAAAACAAATCCTAAATAAAGAAAAAGAAATTAGATGATTCACAATATAAGCAAGAGTTGTAGACAAGGTAGACCATCTTTAAACAGGACACACTTCTAAGATGGGCAAGGTCCTCTATCAAATACCTACTTTAAATAATATAGTATGCATAGATATAAGTATGCAAACAGCTGTAGTAAAGAAGTAAGCCAGATGAGCAGCAAACAAGCAACAAAAAAGTATATTGTGTTACCTCATTACAAGGTTAGATTTATCCTTGAAGTGGCTAAATTTTAATCCTGTTACTTTCCTTTACAGACCAGGCTTTTGTGACGTTGGCTACCAATGACAACTATGCTCGGGGAGCCATGGTTTTGGGCAAGTCCCTGCGCAACCACAATACATCCAAGAAGCTGGTGGTACTCATTGGTCCACAAGTGTCAGAGCCTTGCCAGTAAGATACCTAAGTGGCATTTTTGAACATTTCTGAATCACACTGGTAGCTGTCATGTCTTGTTTTCCAGCTGGATGGTTGATGGTGATTCATTTCCTAGTATTGTGAATCATTAGGTCCGTGCTGAAGAGGATCTATGATGAGGTGAGGGAGGTGGATGTGCTGGACAGTGGCGACACAGCTCACCTGGCCATGATGAAGAGGCCTGATCTGGGCTGCACCTTCACCAAACTCCACTGCTGGACCCTCACACATTACTCTAAATGTGTTTTCATGGACGCAGACACACTGGTGAGACCAACTGAGCATTTTTCATTAGAAGGAGAACTTCAAGATGCTTTACCTTTTTTTTATTGTTGCACTCTAACCATAGGCATGTGAAAATGAGTGTCTGCCTGTATTTGTTTGTCTGCATCCTAGGTTCTTTCAAATATAGATGAACTATTTGACAGAGAAGAATTGTCAGCTGCTCCTGACCCTGGGTGGCCCGACTGCTTCAACTCTGGTGTGTTTGTTTTTCATCCTTCTATGGAGACCTATGACAAACTGCTTCAGTATTGTACAGAACACGGCAGCTTTGATGGTAAGCCAGGAGGAACATACTTATCCTTTTTCATGTTAACAGCATTTTTTGTGTGTATGTTCTCTTGTTTTGTGCTGAAATGTTTGTGCTATTAGTTGTAATTTACAAAGCAGAATGTTGAACATTATGTATCTCAACTTCTCAACTGTGAGATTGCTTGCTTTTCTATTTTATTTTATTGCATTTTTAAGTTAAGTACCTTTTTTAGGGTTTTGGATTGCTAGTTGGATAAAACACTAGATTTGTAGGGCTAAAGACTAAACCATAGATTTAGACTACTCATTATAGTAATATAGCATATTTATTTAAAGAAATAGTTTGACATTTTTGGAAACTCAATTATTTGCTTTTGTTAGTGAAGAAGATTAATACTTGCAGCCTTCAGTAAAACCAAAACTTGTTGTTTTTGTACAAAGGAGACAAGATGTCACATGTTTATTAATGAGTTTTAGGGGTGCTGTTCGGTTGATCCCACCACCCCAACTGAAGTCTTCATACTAAGCTAAGATGGCTTGCAACATACTTATTATTAGTTATCCTTTGAACTTATTTATACATGTTGGTATTAGATAAAATTTATTGGTGTCTTTTACAAGTTCACCTCAAAATACACTTTTCACACGTCATTGCCAAATGCATCACAAGACAGAATTGAGTATGTCAAGAATTTCTGGTTTACCACTTAGTTGAGTTTTGATGTCAATAGTCTTTTTTCAGTCATATACAAACATTCAGGCTTTGACCAGCTTTGACTAACATTAAATTCCTGGTAACGTGATGTTAAACTGAGCTTGTTTATCTTTTGCTCTAAGTAAGGCCTTTATCGAGCCCTGTGCCCGGACACAAGGCCCTCCTGTCACAGAGAGTCTAACTCTGCTGAGTTATTCTCAGGGGCTCGCTGGGGTGGGGTGAAGGTTAAATTTGAGAGGCCCTATTTTGCACAGAGCACCGGTTGACATTCAGCAACTCTTCTCCATGGGGCACACTGTACTGTAACTGAATTGTGGTTGTCGTTTTGGCTCCATATCAGGTTTACTGAGCAGCTCTTCTCAAACCAGAGGCTGAAAAGACCATTGGTCTACATTTGTAGGGGATGTAGTCTCATATACTTCAGGTTTACCACCTTTGCCCCCCCAGAAAAAAGTTAGAGCTGTTTTATGACCATTACATAAAAAAGCTGAAATCCTAACACTTGAATCAGCCCTTGCTTTTTAAAAAAAAAAAAAAAAAAAATGGCATTCCAAAGGTATCCAGTAAACATTTTACCATGACACAGCATTCATTCATGTTAAGCTTTATTAATATCCTTTTAAACACTTGAACCTGCTCAAGTATACAATTACATCACCTCAGTTGAGCTTCACATAGTTTTTGAGATAGCTTAGAAGATAGCTCTTGTACAATGCAATGTTGAGCTAGCATTCAGCTAGCAGCTTTTACCGTAAGCAAATGTAAAACCTGAATCTGGGACTTGATAACTCTCACATACAGTAATTATTATACATTTTCATGGATAATGCATGTTTTAATAGGGGTCCTGGTTCTTTCAAGCTTTATTTTAGAGCTGCAGTATATAGAAGCTCTTATAATTGCCTGCAGAAAAATTAGAACCCAACCAATATTAGCTTGTTTTTATACTGATATCAATATCAGTAATAAAATTTTAAAAAATAGATATCTAGTATATCGGTTGAATCTAGTTTTTTAAATGTAATTTAATATAATGTTAATAATAATAATAACAATAATAATGATGATAATAGTAATATAAAGAAACTTATTTGAAAGGGATTGCTTTGGTTGGGATTTGGTTAGGGTTTGGTAAATAATTGTAACCAAGATATTATGTGCACTGATTTGGACATTTTACAGCTACTGAAATAAACTTGACCAGTGCCTCTCTTGGTGGACAAACTATGTAATGGAGACACAGTTACTAAAGTACTTCAGACATATCTTTGGTATTTCTATACTATGACTTATTGTTACTTATAGAACAACATCACTGATATATCTGTGTTTTGACAAAATCAACTTTACTCAAACTATACTTGCTAGCTTTTTTAAGTTTTCAACCAGATGTCATGGTCTTCATCTGCAAATGGAGTTGTCTTTGTTGTTGTCTCACCTGACCCAGGACCATATATGATCCATCTGTTACCACATGACTACAGTTGGGTCACATGATGACACCTCCATGACAACTGAGATATATCCAATCAGTAATGACAGTCATGAGCTGTGGTTGAAAGTCCTGAATAATGCTATTTTAATGCAAGTAATACTGTTTTTTTCAAAGTCATGAATGACCTACATGCATCACACATTACATATCTTTTGATAAGCCAAAATCAGTCTTTAATTATGACCTCAGAAATCACACAAAAAAGGAAACAGTTTTAGAATCAACAAAACTGGTTGAAAGTACTGGTGGTAGTAGTATTGGTAGTGCTGTTGGTAACTGGTAGTGAACTTTGGAAAAGCCAGGGCTTGTCCTTGGTCCTTTAGTAGCAGTGAACCTTTTTAACATTACATGACACAATGTTTTCCCTTGTGATACTGTGAAAGAGATTCCAGCAGGGAAAGTACATCAGAAAAACCAATTAGTTTGTTTAACAGTGGCCAACGCTTTCAAGTACCGACTCATTCCGTCTGCCACAAGTGTTTGTTGGCAGGAATTTTTTCCATCACAGTCACAACCCCAGACAAAGGACATTATTGTCTTAATTTTTCCAGGAAAGACTGTTCTTTGTCAGTAAAATTCATGCAATATTCAGCACAATTTTATTATTCTTATATCCAATATTCCAATTGGATGCCAGTGTCTGTATGCCTGATGGTATGCTAATGAGTAAAGCTGTCTTATTTATAGATGTGGATGGTCTTTTCATGTGTACTGGGGCGTGAGTTGAAGCTGCTTTGACCTTTAGCATTTCAGTTCTGCTCTATTATAAGGAATACATGATGTACACGTGCACCTCTCTGTCCCACTGATTATCATGGATGATACTGAAATATTGCTGGGGAAAGACAACAAGAAAATATTTTCTGTGTTTGAGCCCAGAGGCTCTAGCTCTGCATCTGTGCTTGCAGCGTTGTCTGCTGCCAAGACAAACTGGCAGAGTTGGATGCACATTCTTGCTGAGCTCTGCTCATCCCCTCAAAATGAAGATACTCAACTCCATATTAAGTTTTGAAATCCCCAGTGAAGGTTGTGGGTTTGGACAAACAGCTGCTATGAGTGTTTTTTTTTTTTTTTTTTTTTTTTGGTTTTTTTTTTTTTTTTTTTTTTTAACTACAGCAGTTTTACAGGCTGCACAGTCCTGTGCTTTTTAGGAACTACATGTGAAAGTTCCATTAACAGCCAACATCTCACTTTGTGCCAGTGTCAGTCCAGAGGCTTACTATATGGCCAGTGTGTGTAGCAATTCAGCATGGATAGTCAATTAGGTTTTGTAATGTTTTGCTTGGCCTCAAAATTCAGCGCTCTGTCTGGTCAGTTGCAGATTTGATGATGTAACAGAGGAGATGTTCACTGGAAAAAAGATTTTGTAAAGGTTCACTTCTAATCTGGTTGTATACTTTAATTATAACTGACCTACTTGACATCAAATGTATTCCTGCACCCCAAACTGTCCAGAGTTCTGTGTTTACATAATCCACCACCATGACAGGCTTGCCCCAGTTCTAAATTAGCCAAATTGAGCGAGGCCGAGTGGCTGTCCAGCCCTCATTGGGCGTCTAGGACTGGAGGCAACTCTAATGCAAACTTTAAAACAAGTTTTAATTCAGAGCGCAATGTTAATTCACATCACCAGCACAAAGAGACAAAACATTTTAAATGCTTGTGTCTAGTTGTATTATTTAAAGCTGACTAGTCATGAATAGGGCTGGGTTTTGTTTGAGAATTTTCTGTACTAGTGCAGATACAATACCTGAGTTTCAGTACTTATAGCAGAATGATGGGATACCTTCATTTGAGAAATATAAAAATGTTTATTATAAACAAACTTTTTTTAAATGTAATAAAAGAAAGCAATTAATTAAATGGTAAATGTTGACAAAACACAAGCAACTGAACTTTGATAAAATAATGATTTTAAATCAGAAACTGTTTGATCCAAGAATATGTTACATGATTCTGACTACACATTTGATGCCAGCACATGGTACTCATTAGTACTTTTTTGGTACTGACACACCATGTACCAAAAATTGAGTACAGCAAATTTACAATAAAACAATAAATATGTGAAGGTTTTTAAAAGCCAGTCAAAAATTGTTTCTATACATGCATGCTGAACCACACACGGGTTAATATAAAATGCTTGATATGAAATATCAGGTGAAAATAAAACATTCCATAGGGCTTGAATTTTGAGTGATGAGCTTTAAAGCTCCACAAATCAATATTTCCTCAGCTGTATAGAGCATTTTAGCATTCTCTGCACATTGTTTGGGAATTTCAACCTTACTGTTTTGTTTCACCCTTGCCGCTCTCATCGGCGTTGTTTTCCAGATGCAGCAGGCAGCTGTTTTCAGCCAGAAACTTCTAATATTCACTGTACGCTACCTGCACAGCACAAAACAACAGAAAGTCAAAGTTAGTGTCTGGCATGTGAAAATAGTATGCAGTCTAGCCCCTGTGTGAACAGAATGAATATTGGACTTACATTTGTAAGGAGCTCAGAAACACTACTCTTTGTTTAAAGCATGTCCCTAAGAGGCAGAACTAAATCTAATAATACTGCTTTAAGTCTTAGGGGGTGCTTCATTTTCCCGCATGTTTTGTGAAATAAATGATAAATTACGGTTGCACACTTTCCCACACTTCTAAATGCTTCTTTGCCTGTCCACATTCAGTGAATAATTGGAGTAACTTTTGAAACTATTTTCACTTCCTGTAAAATTCAGTTGTTTCTCTTTTTCAGTATTGCATTGATGTAGAAGTTACAAGACAACATGATGTATAGTCTTGCATTTGATCTGCAACTCTACTGTATCTCTTGCACGAGAGACTTTTACTACATTTATATGTTCAACTGAGGAATTTGATCATGTAACTCCATTAAGCGACAACAATTTGAAGGATGTAAGTGAACAATGCAGCCCCTGAAAGGCTTCTAGTGTAGCTGAGCTGATTTTCAATTGGAACTGAGCAGAGAAAGAAAATCTGTCTTTGTAAAATATCAGTTGAATAATTCCCCAGTATTGTGGTTGATTAGTTATTGATGAGTATATACCACTGGGTCTTTCTAGAACACACTGATATTTGATATTTTGGTATCAGTAGAGAGTAGGGTGTCTCCCAGCTTGTCAGGACTGATCTTAGTGGTGTGTTGATCAATGTCGACCAACGCAAGTAGAAAGATTTAATTAATCTGGCTGTCACAGGTGTGCAGATCATTTTACTGCACTCTCACTCAGCTTTTCCTCTTCCACTGAAGCCACCCAGTCATCCGCTAAACCTGTCAAAGCATTTCGTAAGACGCATTCGTAAGCTGAGTTGGCTGTTTACACCCCCATAGCAGGTTCTCACATCATTTCCACACTACTAATGCAAATAAATGAGGTAAAAGCATCTCTGCAGTCTAATTTGACTCTATGATGACACTTAAGTTACCTGAAGCTTTCCATTCCTGAAAAATGAGTTGAGTGAATTTTAAGATGTAGATCTTAAAGGAAGGTACTACTACTAGCTTCACTGGAGTCCTGCACAAGTACAAGCTTAAGCTGCTGTCCTATATCTAATTTAATCTATTAAGTATTTATGAAGGAAATCAAAGCTAATGTGCAATTTGTGATCAAAAGGCTTTGCAGAAGTTGTGAAAGATTATCCGATTTTATTGCTTTCAGATAAATGATTGATTTTTCTGAAACATCAGATTTGTACAAATTATTCCTGATAAGCACAGTATGTTAATATACTGTCTGAATCAGATATACTTTTCCCCCAGATTACTAAACCATTATAAACATATGTTTTTGTTTTTTTTTCCCCCCACAATCTCTGTTGCAGGAGGAGACCAAGGTGTTTTGAATGGCTTCTTCAGCAACTGGGCAACAGCTGACATATCAAAACACCTTCCCTTCATCTACAACCTCAGCAGCATAGCCATCTACACTTACCTTCCAGCATTCAAACAGTAAGTGTCTGTTTGCCAAGGTCATGTTCCTGAAAAACACTCGCACAGTAGTCAGGGCTGTGAACATTTCATTTTGGTGTTCCACAAGAAAGTTGGTTTATACTACAGCACTAGAGTCTGTCAGTGTTACTGAAATCTTGTGTATGGGATGCAAAGCCAAGATGTAAGGAGATACTCGATCACATGAATGTGTAGTCACATCGTGACATGACATTAGGTTACGAGCGAGATGAGCAGTAAGATTCCAGCGACTCTGCCCGAGCGCTTCGCAGCAGGCCTCTGGGTTGGATATCCACCCTGAGCTCCCAACAGCTGATACCAAATCCTGAAATAGAGCAGTTTATTTAAAGACCTTTTATGTTCGCCTCTAGGACTGGTCATTGTGCACTGCCTCTTAACCCCCCCCACCACCTCTGTGTATAAACCTCTCTCCACAGAAACAAACCTCATCAACAAGCTTTTAGGTTTGACATTTCCTGGCAACCAATCAGAATGACATGGGTGATAAACATGTATTTAGTTGTTGGTAGTTGTCAGCAATAGGGCTTAGAAGTCTGGCAAACACAACAAAACAAACCCCACAGGCCCAGATTCAGCTTTATTTATGTACACGTGCAGTTGGCCATTATCTGAGGGGGATTTCCTAATAGACTCTATTTAATATAATGCAGTCCAGTACCACACTAACAACAACATGAAGTCTACCCTCAGACATGTTCTGATATAAGTGTCACAAAATGACTTGTATGTGTATATATTTTATGTTATCTGTATTAAGCCAGTTTTCCAGCACTAATGTTTTCAAAGCTATTCAGAATTGCAATGTTTCATAAACCTGGCCATTGTACATCTTCTTCATTGTACCTCTTCTCATCAGCAACATTTAGACACCAATGTCCTGTTGCAAATGTTGTTTTTAATATTGCCAATTCAATACACAATAGAGGTTTCAGAAAAATTCACAACTCAAAGTAGTGACTGTCTCCTAATTATAGTTTGTTAGCACAATGACTTTTTATCCAAATAGTTCATAAAAACTTAATTTGCTAAAATGAACCATAATGAAACTTCTATAATTAAAACATTTAGGTGTCTACATCCTAATCCTCATTTACTGTATTACTCATTTCAGATATGGTGGCAATGCTAAGGTGGTCCATTTCCTAGGGAAGACCAAGCCATGGAGTTACACATTTGACCCCAAAGCCAAACAGATCACAGGGACTGTGCATGAGGCCACTACACATCCCAACTTCCTCCTGGACTGGTGGACCTTGTACTCCAGCGCTGTGGTGCCCATGCTGCATGAGCAATATGGAGACCAGCCGTTTCACTCCGGATGTGTGGAGGTAACTGAACACATGCTTTATTGGACCTGTAGCCCTGCATTTACACTGATAAATGATAGTTTATTCAAACTGAAAATAAGCGTTGGAGATTAGAAATGTTTAAAACAAATTGTGTATTTTTTGCTGGATTTGACAGCAAATTGCCATCACTTTATGATGATGCATTTACATGGCTAGATTGGAATAAATAATAGGATTACTTCACCGTATCTTAAATATGTTGTCGAATTCATACTCAAGTATACAAGTCAATGCCAAAAGTGTATCATAACCAATTTTTTTTACAGCTCACAATTTTGACCATCGACACACTCATCAAGGTTTCCTGGTTGTCCAGCTGTATAAAAAACTAAAGGATGTGTGGATTGTGAGGATTGCAATAGAAAATATGTTTTGAAAATTGGTTGTTCTGTATTTATGTAAGCACATGTATTTTGCTGTCACTTCTGTGTTATTTTTTTCTTTCACCTTCATTTACCTTTTTTTTTTTTTTTTTTTTTTTTTTTTTTTTTTTTTTTTTTTTTTTTTTTTTTTTTTGTTTTATTTAATTTTGCTCTGATTCTGGATGATATACCTATTTCCTGTCTTCCCGTTTATCTCAAAAAGTTCCAGCATAGTGAAAAGGTCACTCACACAGTGGTCACTTTTGAGAGTGAACAGGTATGGAGAAAATGATTTGTTTTTCATAGCTCAGCAGTCAGTAGCAATCTGTTGGCACCTGGTTTAATGCTATCGCTACCCTTCTTCTAAAATCAAAAGCTTCAGCGTGTGTTTGCCTTCGGCTATTAATTTGGAAAGGCTACGTATGGCGAGTTCAGTGCATCAAAAAGCAATGAGCGCAACGGATGTGTTCTCTGCAATCTGTCATTTTCTATTTTCCTTCCATGTTTCACTGTTGTGTTTTAATTTCAGGTTGTTGCGCAGGTTGAAAGCTTCTCTTCACATGAACAAGTACCCGAACCCCAGCTGTCCTCAGAACAACGGAAAGAGAAATGGGAGCAAGGTCAGGCAGACTACATGGGAATGGACTCATTTGACAATATCAAGAAAAAGCTTGATACCTTTCTCAAATAAAGAAGGAATGAAGTGGAATATCAACAGAGCACTTGCAGTTTAACAAACTCACGACAGGTCTTTCAAGAAACAGGTCGCATTTTTCCTTCCTGTTTCTCAACTAGAAATGAGTTGAGTCTCTCCCTCCACCAGCAATTCCCTCTCCACACTCCAAAGACAGAGCCATTTAAATGGGGAAATTAAGAGTTAAATTTTATCATTGGCTTTAATTGTCTGTGCAAGACTGTCATTATCCAGTGTACCACAGGTATCTGTTCTGCTCCACTGAGAGGAAAGTCAGGAAAAATTTATTATAACACGAATTCACTTTTTGGAGTTACATGGATTAAAACTTAGCATTTTTTCTTCTTAGTGCTCTTTTTGAAAAAGGTGATGGTAACAAGATTTGAACTGGGCCTTATGTAACTGTTACTAAGCATTGGAGTCACTTATATGTACATTCTTAATTTTTCCTTCTTTTTTTTTTACGATACAGTCATCTAGCAATCTTCTGAGCATTAATATTTTCTTTTCTCTGAAGTTTATTTCTCTTGCTTTTGAGCTGAACAGCCACTGTTTAACATAAATATAAAACATGTTTACAGCACCTCTAAATGCCATAGACGGTCATTTAGTTGCCATACATATAGATCCTCAGTGCCTTAGTGTCTTGCTCTCTCCACTGCCATCATCTTATCTGTTCCTGGCTAGCAGCTTTTCAATATGTGATTAGGTTTTTAACTTTCTTGCATTTTACTTGACCAGGATGTTGGCTGTACTACAAAATCTTTCATCTGGAAACATTAAAAACATGAAAAGTTGTGGATTTGCTCAAGTGTTTTTTTTTTTTTTGTTTGTTTGTTTTTTGGGAACCAATACCAATAGTATGCAGTATGCAGGTTTTAATGATTTGGAAGCATATGTTTACTGCATTTAGCAGGCATACTCTTCCAGTCCCTTCACTATATTGAATAAAGCACAATCATGTACCCAGCCAAGCCCTTCGGTTGCAGATGTTACAGTTGACACCGGGACAGCGTCTCTCCCAAGATGAGAAACAGTAGAATAGAATCATAGAGTAGAATCAGTGAGTTTGGTCAGGTGGGAAATACCCATTAAACTGACTAATGTTACCAGTATTTGTAAATGTGTTTTAAAAATAAAGCAGCTCATTTCATGACATGTCAAATTATGTGTTTAATATGATGTGTGTGCTGATCTAATAATAAGTATTCCAGCTTGATTGGGCTGCCTTATTTTACTCATTTTCAGTAAGAAAGTTTCCACACTTGTGAAATGTGTTAAAAAACTACGGGGTTTACAGCGAGAGGATTCTCTCCTGGTCATTTCCGGTTTCGCTTCAATCCCTCTCAGTCAGACCGGATTCGATCCTGTGTGTCAGAGACTTGTGGCTGTTAAAAATAGTAACGTGTATTAATGTTTAAAAAATCACTGTCCATAAAGTCCGCAATACCTCCTTATTTTGCAGTAGAATCTAACCCCTTAAAGGTGATAGTTTGACAGTGCTAGCGTTGGTTATCGCTAGTTTAATTTAGGCATTTTTGTGGTTAGCTTTGGTCTTACGGATGAACGGAGGACCGTTAACAGCTAACTATCTTAACTGTTGACAGGTTTAGTTTTTACCAAAACAAAAAATAATATAATGGTGTGAGTTAGCTGCCAGATGTGATAATAGCATTATGGAAAGCAGCACCTTAGCGCGTATTAGTTTCATTTTCAAATAACGTAATTTCGCAACCGAAATTGTTCCGTTTTCGTTCGTTTTTATCGATGTAACACGGGGGCGTGCCGTAACCCTACTGCGGGTGATGTAGACCGCTTCTCCAGGAAAGTAAACACACCATTCCGTCAAGATGGCCCCAGTCTCCGTGTTCCGTGCTACATTACTCGTGTCATTTTCAGTTTTTCTGACAGTTGTGTTGGGGTTTGGACTTCCTGCTCTACTGAACGCAGCGATGAGTATGTTGGGATTGCCGGAGACGAGTGTTACCGAGTGCATAGTTGTGATGTATTTAGTTTTTGTGTTGTGTGTTGCAACACCCCGACTTCCCAGAGGACTGGTGGAGGTAATGGAACAGCATGGACTATTATTTCCAACAGTGAACTCTTGTTCTATACATTATGTTATAACACGTGTAATAAGCATACAAATATCATAGCTTCATTTTGATATGTCATAGAGATCCCTAATGTGGACATTTAATTAGTCCAATTAACTTAGTGGGAATCCTTGACCTGAAGGAGATACGATACTGTTACACTGAATACGGCTATTCATGAGCAATATAAATGTATTACTTTACTAACGTCCTGTTAACCTCTATACACTGTGTATTATATATATAGACAATGCATACACTTTATTTTTAATAATCGTCCTATATGTTTTTAATATATGAAATCGCGGCATACATTATGTAAGCTTTTTCATCCTTCTCACATACTGTATATCTGTGTTACTCTCGGCAATGGAGGTAGATTTGTTTCAATATTATTTGTGTGAACAGATCGACAACCCGTGCGTAAATGTGCAATCTGTAAATATAAAACACCTTCGACAAATACAAAAAATGTATTTGCAAATTCACAAAAATATCTTGCAAATATGAAACGGATTTGCAAATACACAAACAAATTCCACAAGTAAAGAAATATCTGTGAATACATTCAATTAATTTACAAATTGTGAAAAACACTTGTGAATATCTTCCTAACATTTACAACTTCCAAACAGACATTTGCGACTCAATTTTTATATTTGTGAAGCGAAAAAGCATTTGTGGATCGCAATTCTACGCTTGTTGATTTCAATTTTACACATATGGAGTTTTGAAACAAACTTTCCACCAGGCTGAACCAAAATTGAATTGTATCACTCGGCCACTTTCGGAAAACACGTGAGCACTTGCTGACAACGCAATTTCCGCTTTTCAAAGTAAGAGCGCGTAGTCTTCTATGTGTTGTTTTTTTTCCACAAATCGGCGACAAGTAATGTACACTACGTTAACGGTTGTAAGATATGAATTGACAGGACCTGGTTAAGGTCTTTGATAGTATGGCTGGTGGTGTTGGTAACCCTGCCCATACAGACAAACAAGTGGCAAGGAAGTGACATCCTAACGACCTGCCTTGATGAGATTGATGAGATGACAGAGTGCATTTTCATTTTTATTTTGACCTCAAAAGGGCGTAGTGACATGAAAATGAAATGGACTGTGGATGCTTTTTGCTTATTGTATTTGAATATTGTCACTGAAGAGGAAGTTAAGTCTTTGAAAATTAATTGTTAATAGCTTTTCGATTTTCATTTCATATTAAGACATTAGAGTGGCTAATTACCCTTATGTGCATGCCTTTGGATTGCGGGAGGAAGCTGGAGTACCTGGAGGGAACCCGTGCAGGCACAGGGAGAACATGCAAACTCCACACAGAAAGGCCTTAGGGCTGAGATTTGAACTCAGAACCTTCTCAGAGTGGAGGGACAGTTCTAACCACTGTAGTGCCTTGTTGCCCATATTAGTATGGCATAAAAACATCATAGGATAGTAAGGCATGAAAACGTCATACTATAGTAATGCTTAAAAAAGTCATAGTATAGTAAGGCATTAGAGTTGCCAATTAACCTAATGTACATGTCTTTAGATTGCGAGAAGGAGAGGAGAGCACCCACACAGGCACAGGGAGAACATACAAACTCCACACAGGAAAGCCCCAGGCCCAGTGTTCAAACTCAGAACCTTCTCACTGTGGGATGACAGTTCTCAACATGAGCACCACCGTGCCGCGACATAAAAAGTCATCATAGTATAGTAAGGTATAAAAAATGTCATAGTATAATAAGGCATAAAAAACGTCATAGTATAATAAGGCATAAAAACGTCATAGTATAGGAAGGCATAAAAAACATCATAGTATAGTAGGCATAAAAAAGGTCATAGTAGAGTAAGGTATGAAAATTGTAATAAAAATGTCATTCTATAGTAAGGCATAAAATATGTCATAAAAACGTCATAGTATAGTAGGGCTAAGAAAACATCATAGTATAGTAAGGCATAACAAAATGCGTAGTATAGTAAGCCATAAAAAAGGCCATAAAAACAGCATAGTATAGTAAGGAATAAAAACATAATATTATAGTAAGGCATAAAAACTGTAATAAAAACGTCATACTGTAGTAAGGCATAAAAAATGCTATAAAGGCGTCATAGTATAGTATGGCATAAAAAATTTCGTAAAAACGTCATAGTATAATTTGGCATAAAATTCTCAAAAACGTCACAGTATAGTCAGGCATAAAATTCTTAAAAAACGTCATAGTATATTATGGCAAAAAATTCTCAAAAATGTCATAGTATAGTATGGCATAAAATTCTCAAAAAAACATCACATTATAATGTAGCATAAAAATTTAAAAAACATCATAGGACAGTATGGAAAAAGATTCTCGAAAACGTCATAGTATAGTATGGCATAAAAATGGCAAATAAAGTCATAGTATAGTATGGCCTAAAATTCTCAAAAAACATCATAGTATAGTATGGCCTAAAATTGTCAAAAAACGTCATAGTATAGTATGGCATAAAAATGACCAATAACGTCATAGTATAGTATGGCATAAAAATGTCCAAAAACGACATAGTATATTATGGCTTGAAATGAAAAAAAAAACGTCATACTATAGTATGGCATAAAAATGTAAAAAAACGTCATAGTATAGTATGGCATAAAATTCGCAAAAAACGTCATGGTATAGTATGGCATAAAAATGTCCAAAAATGTCATAGTATAGTATGGCATAAAATTCTCAAAAAGCGTCATAGTATAGTATGGCTTAAAATTCTTAAAAAAAAAAAATAGTATAGTATGGCATCAAATTTCAAAAACATCATAGTATAGTATGGCAAAAAATTCTCAAAAACGTTATAGTATAGTATGGAATAAAAATGTCCAAAAACGTCATAGTATAGTATGGCATAAAAATGTCAAAAAACGTCATAGTATAGTATGGCCTAAAATTCTCGAAAAACATCATAGTATAGTATGGCCTAAAATTCTCGAAAAACATCATAGTATAGTATGGCCTAAAATTCTCGAAAAACATCATAGTATAGTATGGCCTAAAATTGTCAAAACACGTCATAGTATAGTATGGCCTAAAATTCTCGAAAAACATCATAGTATAGTATGGCAAAAAATTCTCAAAAACGTTATAGTATAGTATGGAATAAAAATGTCCAAAAACGTCATAGTATAGTATGGCATAAAATTCTCAAAAAGCGTCATAGTTTAGTATGGCATAAATCTCAAAAAACGTCATAGTATAGTATGGCCTAAAATTCTCGAAAAACATCATAGTATAGTATGGCAAAAAATTCTCAAAAACGTCATAGTATAGTATAGCATTAAACTATCAAAAACGTCATAGTATACTATGGCAAAAAATTCTCAAAAACGTCATAGTAGAGTATGGCATAAAAATGTCAAAGAACGTCATAGTATAGTATGGCCTAAAATTCTCGAAAAACATCATAGTATAGTATGGCATAAAATTCTCAAAAATGTCATAGTACAGAATGGCATAAAATTCTCAAAAAACGTCATAGTATGGTATGGCATAAAACTCTCAAAAACATCATAGTATAGTATGGCATAAAAATGTCATAGTATAGTATGGCATAAAATGTCAAAAAAACGTCATAGTATAGTATGGCATAAAAATGTCAAAAAACGTCATAGTATAGTATGGCATAAAAATGTCATAGTATAGTATGGCATATAATTCTCAAAAAACAACATAGTGT